GCTGACCCCGGGTCCGGGTATGTTTTGGGCTAGTGACAAGCGGCCATGGTCCCTCGCGTCTTAGTTCTCTATTTATTATGAAAAAATTGGCCTAACAAACTGCCAGCACCTTCTCGTTCCGACAAGGCGCTTCCCGTAATCCGCCAGAGTGCGATCCGGAGCCCCGTATAAAGATTTCTTTGAGAAACGGTCCACGCTCCTCGTTCCTCGTACGCGCTTCCCGTCAAAAGAAACAACGTGGACACAGAGCGCATGGACACCACCCGCCAAAATCCGCCGACCCTGTCGGCGTGGGTGAGGGGCTTGTCCGTTCGAGTCGTCGTCTCCGTCATTCGTTCAATAGTCCCCTTTCCCTGCGCCACCCCCTTTCCCTGGGCCCGTCGCCGCTCGCCCCCCTTTCCCTGGGGCTCCCCACCCCCCTTCCCTAGGCCCTCCTCTTCAAGCGCGCCAGCCAAAGCGAAATTGACCGGGCAGTGCAAAACGCCCCGGGCGGTTCCCCCGGCATCCGCCCCGCGGTTCCCGGCATCCGCCCCGCGGTTTCCCCAGTCGCTTTGCTTATCTCATCTTAGCTAAGCCTAGCTTAACTTAGCTTAGTTTAGCTTAGCTCAGCTTAGCCTAGCTTAGCTTAACTTAGTTTAGCTTAGCTTAGCCTAGCCTAGCATAGCTTAGCTTAACTTAGCTTAGCGTAGTTTAGCTCAGCTTAGCTTAGCGCAGCGCAGCGCAGCATTAGCATAGCATAGCATAGCTTAGCATAGCACAGCACAGCGCAGCATAGCGTAGCATAGCATAGCATAGTATAGCGTAGCATAGCGCAGCATATCATAGCATAGCATAGCAGAGCAGAGCATAGCGCAGCATAGTATAGCATAGCATAGCATAGTGCAGCATAGCATAGCATAGCATAGCATTGCATAGCGCAGCATTGCATATCATAGCATATCCTAATTGATCATAACATCATAGCACAGCGCAGCACAGCAGAGCATAGCATAGCGCAGCATAGCATATCATAGCATATCATAGCATATCATAGCGCAGCATAGCATAGCATAGCATAGCCTAGCATAACATAGCGCAGCCTAGCATACCCTAGCATAGCATAGCATAGCATAGCATAGCATAGCGCAGCATAGCGCAGTCTAGCATACCCTAGCATAGCATAGCATAGCATAGCGCAGCATAGCATAGCATAACATAGCATATAATCAACGCAAAGGCAAAGCAACAGCAGCAACAGCAAAGCAAAGCACAAGCAACGCAAAGCAAAGCAAAGCAATAGCAATAGCAAAGCAAAGGAAAGGCAGCGCAAAAGCAATGTGAGACAGGTGGCGAGCTAGCCTCGATGGCCGGACTGGAGCCCCCGCAAGCAGTGCTGAACAGCCTGCAGCTCTTGCAGGAGCCGCGAGCAGTGTGATTACTAATATTGCTCTCCTCGGGGCTCCAACTCCTAGGTAGGGTCGCTGTGGGATAAGTGTGTTCTTTCTGTGCAGACGCAGAGGTAACGGGGTAACTCTCTGCGCGTCCAGCGCGACCTCAGTCGAGGTCGAGAACACCGAAGAACGACTTGGCCTCCCTTAGTGAAAACACCCGCGGGTGACGTAACGCTGACCACAACGCGGGCAAAACGCGCAGATGCAGGCGCGCCACGGACGGTGCCCAAAAGTGGCCCTCGATGGGGTCCCTGGGAGACAGGCCGTGGGCTCCAGGGCAAGGAGCGGAAGGCAGCCGCACTGGCAGCGGCAGCACCAGCAGGAGGCCCAGCAGGCAGAGGGAGTGACGAGCGGGGAGGGACCCCCAGGCGCGCCCACCGCAGGACCCTCGCAGGCCCTCCCCCGACCCATCCTAGACTACGGACCCTCCAGGCCTCCAGCTGCCACCGAGCGCAGCATCAGCGTCACTGGGCCTGGCTGCAGTCTCTCCTGCGACGCCGCCGTGGGCCCCACGGGCTCAAGAGAGTCCCGAATCGCCTGGGGCGACCTCGGGGTGTTCCAGATTCTCCTCCCCCCAGCGCCCAGCCGGGAATCTACCGTCCCCAGAGCAGAATTCCCCGGCTCTCGTGTGCCCTGGGACACTTCACAACCACAACACATGCGCGCACGCGAGGCCGCGACCCCTCCTAGATTGCAACAAAGTCGCGCTCCCGAGGCACGACCCATCGTACATTACAACGCGACGCGCTCCCGGCCAAGGCCCATCGTGAATGACAACACATGCGCGTTCCCGAGGCCAGGATCGCTCGTGAACTACGCCACGTGCGCGCTGCCGAAACCACGATCCCTTGTATAGCACGCCACATGCGCGCTCCCGAAGCGACGACCCCTGGTAATTACAACACGTGCGCGCTCTCGAGGCCGCGATCCTTGGTAAAGTACGATACCTTGCGCGTTCCCGAAGCCACCTTCCCTGTCCAAGTACAACAGATGCGCATTCCCGAAGCCGCACTCCTCGGTAAATGTCGCTGCGTGCGCGCTCCCGAGGCCACGATGCGCAGAAAATTGCGACAGATGCGCGCTCCTGAGGCCACCATCCCTACTGGAAGATTACGACGCG